ACCTGGTAAGCGTACCACTAAAATAATTTCGCAATCTTTACGACTCTCAAGGCTTTGTGATCCACTAATATAGTTTTCCCCGGGCATTAGAGCAATCAATTCATAGTCGGGTAACAAAGACATTTCTTTCATGTCTTAATTATCTGAAATAATTATATAAAATTAAGTTTATTAGTAATTTAAAATTGAATATGTAAAAATGTCTGAATGTTCCTAAACCAACAAGTGTTTATTATGCGGTCCAAATTTCGTACGTATGAAAGCATATTTTTGCTGTAAAAGAGGAACAAATTGGGGACTTTTGCCGACGGCTTTGCAAATAAGAGAGAGTATTACGTTCTTTCTGCAAATTAGCATAGGGTATTACGTTCTTTCTGTAAGTTAGCATAGAGCATTACGTTCGCACTGTAAATAGCAGAAAATTTAGCTACTGTTTTGTTTAATTTGATAATGAAAAAAAAATTATGGCGGTCTACTTTTAGTCTAACTTGTAAAATTAAATAAGTAAAAGTAAATAATAAATAAGTTTAGTTCGCGTATTTTTCAAAACACTAAACATCTAGAGGGGATAGAAGACCAAAAGCGACCAAGTCAAGGAAAAAGGATCGGAAACAATTAGGAAACCATTAAAAAGAATAACAATTTATTTTATATATATATATATATATATATTTATATATATTAATAAAGTATTTTAAATGTATAATAAAGCTATTATATAAATAAAGCTATTTATTTTATTTATATTTAAATATAAATTGTATAAATTAATATACAACAATAGGAAAGAAGTTTGATTTTCCAAATGACAAATCGGTTGGAAAAGTGTTTATTGCTATAAGCTCCAACTAGACGATGGTTATATTTTTATTTGAAATTAAATTTTGATTTAATGACAACAAGCGTTTTTTACGACACATCATTGGGACATTTTAAGTGGAATGACCGGTTTGCTTGGATTCATCATTAAGACCCAATAATGTATCATCGGTCTGTTGACATAAAAATTGCTTTAAATCATCTTGAGGAAGAATCTATTGACTTAATACAATATTAGCATAATCGCTTTCCATCTCTCCACTCCCTTCATCGCCTTCAAATTAACCGAAATCTTTCAACATTAAAATGGAATGATTTATTATTATTTTACCCTGTACCTATCATTTCAGGAATTGGACGGATAGGCATTTTTCTTTTTATTTCGTTAAAAATACACCTATTGGTGCGAATATATATACAAAAGAAGTCCTAAAAGCCGCTTACATACCGTAAGCTTGCTTGCGTCTCTATAATTTGGATTCAGCTAACTAATGAAAAGATTGAGGCTTTCTATCTGATGTCGGATCTATAGCCACATTGATTATTGTAGGCATATCTATCAACTGTAATGATTCTTTAATAGCCCGCTGAAGTTTCGGTATTGTCTTACAAAAGTAACCTTTCATGTCAAACATTTCCATCATTCGTTCATAACGAATCTCAACAGTTAGAGCTGATGGCGGTGTTCTAAAAGTAATTACCAATTTGAATAATTGTTGCTTCCAATTACATGTACACTGACACTTGCGACAAATCACCATCACTACGTAGATTATTAAGCGTTTCTTGATCAAATCCTCCGTATATGCCGTTATTGTTAACTAGTATTATAACTATAGGCAGTTTATGGCGGACCATAGTTTCCAATTCCATCCCAGAAAAACCGAAAGCACTATCACCCTCCACGCATATTACCCGCTTTTGCGGGCATTGGTTACGGCAATAAAAAGCGGCAGCTATCGCGAAACCTAAACCAATGCCCATTGTACAAAATATACCTGCAAATCGTTGAGTACAGTATTATGTTCTAGAGCGTCTTTCTTATCAATATACCTGCATCTAAACGATGACGCGGTAAAGTTTAACTTGTTTACTTTGGTAGCTATAGTCATTGTATAAACAAAATTTCTCGACAATACAGTTGAATTGACCTACTAGATTGAGTTCGGATGGGGTGAACCAATTTTTTGAGCTTTTTATGTAAGGAAAGTACGCCTCTACATCGAATTGCTTGCATTAGACGAGGTCTGAAGGATACATGCACATAGGGCTGTATGCAGAAAATGTACTAGTAGTACTTGCGTGTGGCCGCATCTATAAAGTATACAAAATCGATAGCATTCACCCATCGGACATACACATCGCCGTCTACGATCACATTTTATCTTGCTTGGGACATTTTGTTCGATTTTATCCTATTTTTTAACAACACCGCACGTCCTATGTCCACTGTTTTTGCTCCTTCGCTAACGATTACAGCGTCCTTGGATATTAATTGATATAAATGATGAAAGACAGTGCAGTAATTCAAAGGAGGTGACCATTGTATCCATTGCTAAAGAAAGAAACATTTCACGATTCTGCTGATATTTTTCATTTAATTGGTGCCACCGACCGTGGGGTGGTTGTGAAAGTGAAAATTCACCGCGTTCATTTCTTCGAACAATTGCTCAACAAAAGGTTTAATATCAGCAACATTGTATGGCAACAGTAGCTTTGACAGAATTATTCAATTCCTCGGCACATATATCAACCTGAGAAGGCATGTTTACACAAATTTTCACCCTTTGTGTGAGTTTTAAACAAAATATCTGTATGAATTTCACATCTTTATTGTAACGTGGTGGACGTCCAAAATGTAAAATGCAGTTAAGTCTAGCTCCTAAAAACAAAATTACGTCAGCTTTTCGCAAAGCTAATGTTCGAGCCGATGATACACATTGTGCGGCTGTATCGGAAACTACGCCTTCTCCCATCGGTGTGGGTAAGAACGGAAAATTGGTGTTTTCAATAAAGTGTCTCAAGATATTCTCGGCTTTCGCATAAGCCGCTCCATTGCCTATGATAATCAAGGGCCTTTCAGCAGAACGTAGAAGGTGAACGGCTCTTATTAGATCATCACGACCGGGATATATTAAAGTGGGTAGACATGTGTTATAAATTTTCACTCTAAAAGCAGTAGTTTGTAATAAATTGCATGGAAAATCCAAATAAGACACACCAGGACGTCCATAGGTAGCATATCGAACAGCCTTTTCAATATGTAAAAGTATTAGGGCAGCTGTTAGCGGCCGAGCTACATATTTGCAATAAGGACGGGATAATTCAACTTGAGGGCTCTCTTGGAAACCACCGATACCCACGTGATCTTGATTGCTGGCACCACCCAGAACTAAAAGCGGCCAACAATTCAGTTGAGCGTTTGCCATTCTGCCTGGGCGTGAATTGTAAAAAAGAAAAAGGAAAAAACGAGAAGAGAGATTATTAATTAGGTTATGATTAATACGTACTTCATCTAAAGTATTATACAACAATTTTTACAATATCAACTCTATCCCTGAGGTGTCGTAAACTTACCAATAACATGCAATAAATCAGAGCCAGAAACTACTAAACACACACCTGGTTTGCCCGTCAAATACCCGATAGCTGGGGCAGCATAACATGCTGCCCTATAAGTCACAAGTTCAAAGTTTCTTCAAGCCATCACTTGTAACAATAACCAACCAGATCATCATATGGAGATATGCTGTATATCTGTATACGTATATATTTAGATTCTGGTACTTCTGAACGACCTGATGTTTCTTTGAACTGCTAAGTCAGACTTGCCAAGACTCGCTTTAAACGAAATATAAATTATTAATGTGTTCTAAATTAATTCTATTCCTCCCTTTGGATTTGTTATCAATTTCCTATATTTCTTCCACACCTCCTTTTGAATTCATAAAAGGTATAGACTATTACCTGTACGAACGGTTCGATAAAGTTCTTGTATCATCGCTACAAATTTATGCTTGCGCTGTGATAGGTATTATAGAAGAAGGTGGACGTTTTGATGTGCAAACGATCGTGAGTCAAGACACGTCAATGTACCAAACTGCGTATTCGCGTGAGCTTAAGAAAGACATGATCATCAGCACTCAAACGTGAGTTAATTATAAAACCAAACTTGCCCATTGTCCATTGTAATATTAGATAGAGACTCGGTGCCATAACCATAGGGTGATAACACGATAAACTTTAAATTATTGACAACGGTAAAATGCGAGGTACGACACAAATTATCGTTAATTTCCCCACAAGGCCCGTTATATCAGCGTCGTCTGCATATAAATGATATTGCAATCTTAACAACAAGTAAGTTGGTAATTAATGAAGGTATTGAACAGTTGAACTGGATTCTAGGGTACTCCAGAGTTACTGTGTATAATCTCAGGGAGGAGCCGACTTTCACCGATTGACGTGGATTATCAAGATAAGACCTAACAAGCTTGATCGCCGTCGAACTAAAGCCAAAGTAAGAACTTTGCTTTTTGAAGAGTAAATTCTGATTCATAGTATCAAAGGCCTCAGAAAAATCAATGATAACCGAGTCGTCAAGTTTCCAAGTATCATACTCTGGACGGATATCTTCCAACAGTTTGCTCGTAGCGATGTCACAGCTATGATCTGGCTTACAATCTAACTGCACTTCAGAAAGTAAATCCTTGGAACAGAAGTATAAAGCTATCTGATCGGTTACTAACAGTTTTTTAGGGTTTTTTCTTAATATACATATTTCCCTTTGTTTTGTTGAAGGCGGTTGGATGGCGGTTTTTGGGTTATAGGTCTATGTCGCCAATAGCTTGAAAACGAAATGACTGATTTGAAGAAAGATTGTTGATAAGAAGATTCAGAAATTCAACAAACACATTTTACATGTTGAAACTATATTGAATGTAACCGCTAAACTCTACACATAGTAACGTGCAATACGATTTGAAATTTTAACGATCGTTTAAGTGACAGCGGCGGAAATTCAAAACAAAACAGAAAAAACTAACACTACGTTTCATTTCGGCTTTGGTTCTGCTGTGCAATCATTTATTGTTATCTTTGCGGTCGTTCTGACATTTGTTAAAACACTTCATCTGATTCATGCCTTTGTTTTTTACACTCGTTTCGCTTTTTCTACTCTATGGAAAATCCGTCGTAAGTTTAGTAAATATTAAATATATAGTTTAGATATCCCAAAAAAAAAAAAAAAAAGATAAAGAAGAAAAATTGACAACTTCACTGTACATTGCGAAAAGTTAAAGAATTAAATATTTAAAAATCGAATTATAAATTTCTAAAGCAAGGCGTATTAAGGGGCGTGTATTTGCGTTTTAATGGCTAACAATTATCTGAAACCAGTGAATAATCACTTCGGTTATGAAGACAACAATTTAGAGGATGTGGATGACGATATTTTTTTAAATAATGCTCGTGCCAAATCTTCCTATAAAAATGCCTCGGGCTCGAGTTTGTCTAGAGAAGCTCCTCCGGTTCACAGTACTAATCCATTTGAAGAAGAATCTGTGGAGCAACAGCGTCAAATTTTGGAAGAGCGAAAAAGACAAATTGAAGCTCAAACTTTAAATTCCACACAAAAAAGCCTTGGATTGCTATATGAAACTGAAGAGGTGGGTAAAGCAACCGCTGTAGAATTAGCAAAGCAACGGGAGCAACTAGAGAAAACTTCTCGTCAACTGGAAGAGATTAATGCCACGCTGCGGTTTAGCCAACGTCATTTAAACAGTTTGAAAAGCGTATTTGGTGGCTTGAAAAACTATTTATCAGGTAATCGTGATCAACAACAACCACCATCTTCTGCCAATTCGCCTCGCTCGCCGCCTAATGCATCTCAAGCACCGCAAAATACTAAGGATTTGAAACAAAAATCTCCTACAGAGAAATATAATAATCATCCTGTTTCACGATTACGTGAAGACTCTTATGGGCGGGAGCAACACGTGCAAATGCAGGAACAAAAACGCAATAATCCATTTGAGGCTCAACTTGAAGCCAACTTAGAGGAGATGTGTGGAAATTTGTCGCGTTTAAAAGGCTTGGCCAGTGACATGAACCGTGAGATTGAATCTCAAAATGAATTCTTAGACAACATGAATTACAAAATCGAGGATATTGATCTTAAGATGAATAAACAAAACAAAGATATGAATAAATTGTTGGGTAAAAAGTAAAAATAAAAGCATTTGCAATTCTATATTAAATAATAAGTTATCGATAAAATCAGCTTTACAAATAAAATTTCCACAAATGCTCATTTATTTGTACGGTTTTCTTAAATCATAACGTTTTAAGTAAGGAATTGGTTATACTAAAGCGGCATATTGTATTACGACGATGGGGCAGCACGCAGAGGATCTTGAGAAATGATTCCGAACAAATCTTGTAAAGAGGTGAATTTATTCAATGCAAGCTCAGTGGCACATTCACGTATAAAAAACAAAAGAATTTGAATGCACTTCCGTATAGGTATAAAAGCTATGAATTTTTATAAACTGCATATATACATTTTTATTTTAATAACTACCGTTACAAAACACATGCATATATATATATAAAAATGTGAATTAGGATTATTTCTTTGATTTGATATTCTTCTTCTTAACGTACAATTTTTTTATTATTTTTAATTGTGTAATTTTCATTATTTATTTATTTATTTTAAAATTTTACGAAAACAATACAAAAGTCCTTCAAGAGACAATTTACGCAATTTGTATAATTAATTTCCTATTTTTACTTTAAAGATTAAAATTCGTAATTTACAATTCGGCTCCCCAGCCTAAGAAACTAAGAATTTCAATCTATCAAAACAGACCTACTATAGATCGTGCTCCATTGTGATAACAATAAACCAAAAAGAAACTCTAATACTTATATCCAATCCGAATACTGCTCATCAATCCAGCCGACAGCTAAATTTAATTAAGTGCCATGGGATGGGATTTCTACCCCGTTCACAGTCATACCCATTAACCGGTTTTCTACTGAACTAGAACGAGTTGTGAAATGAAAGTCCAAGCGCTGTTACGCTATTTCTGTTACTAAACTAAAAACTACAGCACGACTTCCAAAAGCAATTTTACTGACGACGGGAAGCCGTGTTAACTGATAAAAAAAAAGAGAAAAACAAAATTAAAAATTTTTGTAATTTATCAGTGATGTAATACTGCTACACACGTTCAAACAGAGTAGCTGCTTCCACAGTTAAGCTACCACAATCCTGCAGCTGCTATCCTGAAGTGTGGTTCATACTGAAAGAAATGCAAGTAAACAAGTTACAGCGGGAGATACGAATTACAAGTACCTCGTAGTAACTCTCCCACAACTTCCACTAATTATTTATTATAAAAATACAGTTAATTTTGGTTTCAATACAACTTCAACTAATTATTTATTATAAACCTATTAATTTAAATCGATCATTCTCGTTGAATTGTGAAAACATTTTTCATAACAGGAAAAAGTTGATATTAAATGAGGACGTAATTAGGTGTTATTTATAGTGTACCTCCTTCCTGCCCCAACGAATGAATTTAAAAGCTATATATATATGATAAGTCACGAAATTCCGTAAGTTCTTATTACAAAGTTCTTGTAAGTATAGTTTTGAAATATTTGATGTAATCACCTAGACTGCTTTGCCGTGCCTCAAAAACTAAAATTAAAACCTGCTACGACGCGATACGTTTTTAACTAATTGGTGTATTAGTTATTACTTTTTTCTCGCTTAATAATTATCGAAATTTTGATGCATTTTTTAGAGATTAGAGAAGTTCTTTCGGTATTTGTTTATTATTAATTCTAAATTATTGTTGTTTTTTTTTTTTTAAATTCTATTTCGGTTGTGCAATATCAAAATTATAATTTTTTGCTGTCTCCTTTGTTCTCAATAAAGTATGTAAATAAATGATCAAACATTTATAATTCAGCTGTACGTGCTGGTCTGTAAAATTATCACTCTTGCTGTACATGCATTCGGTTTATTGGGTGCATTTATACCAAAAGTACGAATACGGTTTGCGATTGTGTGCACTTTGGACTTTCTCTTTTGTAGTGAAAAATTGTTTAGATCGAGTTCTTCGCTGAAAATAAAGTCAAGATTCACATGAAAATGATTAATACTGGAAAATTGGCAGGACGAACACTATTTATAACAGGAGCCTCTCGGGGAATAGGTAAAGCGATTGCTTTAAAAGCTGCCCGCGATGGAGCAAATATTGTAGTGGCAGCTAAAACTGCTGAACCTCACCCAAAGTTGCCCGGTACCATATATACAGCGGCGGAAGAAATTGAAAAGGCTGGGGGTAAGGCTCACCCGTGCGTAGTAGACGTACGTGATGAAACACAGGTTAGAAATGCAGTTCAGCAGGCGGTGGAAAAGTTTGGTGGCATAGATATTTTGATTAACAATGCAAGCGCTATCTCGCTAACTGGCACTTTGGACACTGATATGAAAAGATATGATCTAATGCATCAGATTAACACGCGAGGCACATTTTTGGTCTCAAAAGTCTGTATACCGTATCTATTGAAATCCGATCACGCCCATATTTTGAACATATCGCCACCATTAAATATGAATCCTAAATGGTTCGCTCCCCATGTCGCTTACACAATGGCCAAGTACGGCATGTCTATGTGCGTTCTAGGCATGAGCCATGAGTTCCGAAAACAAAATGTAGCGGTGAACGCTTTGTGGCCCCGTACAGCTATACATACTGCAGCTATAGAAATGTTAACAGGGCCAGGTAGCGCTGAAATTTCACGTAAACCAGAAATTATGGCTGATGCCGCTTACGCAATTTTAATCAAAGAACCCTCTGCAGCAACAGGTGTCTTTTACATAGATGATGAAGTGCTAGCTGAAGCTGGTGTTACGGATTTGATACAGTATGCTTGTGTTCCTGAAAATGCCGACAATTTAATGGAGGACTTCTTTTTGGACAGCCCACTTGGGAAAAGTCTCACACATAAGAAGGCGGATGCCAACGCGTTAAACTCGGTTGTAATACCGAAGATTTTCAGTAAATTACAAAATGTGATTTCTTCGGAAATTGTTGCCAGCACGCAGGCTGTTTACCAGTTCAATATAACGGGAGATGAGAAAGGCACTTGGTTTTTAGATTTGAAAAACGGCAATGGCTCCTGTGGTAATGGAGCTCCCTCGGCGAAACCAGATGCGGTGCTTACAATGAAATCACAAAATTTTGTGGATTTGTTTGCAGGGAAATTGAAAGCAGCCCCGGCTTATATGGCAGGAAAATTAAAAATTAGTGGCGATTTGCAAAAAGCTATAAAATTAGAAAAACTTATGAAGGCATTTAAAGCAAAATTGTAACGTTCTTTTTTGTTATGGTATATATTCATGTTTTTTAAATGTGCTAATAAAACCGAAATATTCAGTAGATAGGAAAGACAGTTGTGGTATTTTTTTAACAACATTTCTATACTAATCAACAAATTGCAATCATTAATTTTAGTGCAATTACATGAGGTACTCGGTGAGATTTTTCCATTCAAATTCGGCGATAATCTTTTAAAACATCAATAACGATTATATTGGCAACCCTGTTGTGTAAAAAAGACAGTGTACAGCTTTCCCGCGTTTTGTTCCATTTCGCTTTTTTGCAAAAGTTAAATACAAAGTACCTGGTTAGAAATGGAAAATTTTGAGGAAGATTTTGAGTCAAAAACTGGCAATTTTCTTAAGGAACCTTTGTCGTTGAGGTAAGTAGCCTATCGAATTCATTAAGAAATCTGCTTGCTCATTTTTGCGGCCACTTTTAGTGACTTAATCGGAACTGGCTGTAATTTTGAAATCAGTACCAATTTTGAAGAGGATGCGGCTCATAAAATATTTGATGAACTGAATTTGGGATCAGATGAAGAAGAGGACGATGACAATCGACGTTCATCCGATGAACTACCGGACTTGGTATCCCCATGGTTACAGCCATTTGCAGAGCTCAAAGAGAATATGCTGCAGATTAATTCGTATTTATGGAAGAAAGTAATGAAAATTGGGAAAGAGAGCGAACCTGTAGTACCTTTTAGAAATGCACGCGTGACCCTACGTTACAATGCTTATTGGGAGGGTGAAGGAGCTCCCTTTGATTCGAGTTTCCTTAGAGGATCGTCTTTAACATTTTACACTGGCCTTGGTGAAGTGTTAGAGGGTCTTGAAGCAGCTGTTTGTACCATGCACAGTGGCGAGCAATCGCAATTTGTTATCTCATACCATCTACTGTTTCGTGAAATGGGATGTCCGCCTCGTATTAAACCCAAAGCTGATGCCTTATTCATTATAGAATTGTTGTCGTATAATTTGATTGGCGATATAGATGCTGACCTGCAGATATCAGCGGAAGATAAGACTAAATTCCCTGTAGTTATTGAAAAGGTGAAAGATATTCATCTCAAGGGATTGGATTTTTTTCGTCAAGGACTATATCGGAATGCTAGTCGTGCTTTTGAAAAAGCTGCAGATATGTTGAAATTTTGCCGCCTGGCAAATGAGGAAGAGGAAGAGGACCAAAGAAACTTTTTGATTAAACTCTTTACTAATTTAGCCGTGTGTTACATTAAAGTTAATTTACCATCGCGCACTTGCATAGTTTGCAAGGAAATACGTCAGCTAACCAATAATAAACCTTCTTGTAAAGCTCTGTTCCAAGAGGGGAGAGCTTTGTTAATGTTAGGGGAATACAAGAGAGCTAGAGAATTATTGGTCAAAGCTCAGTATATGGAACCGCACAACGACGACATCGGCAATGAATTGAAAATCTTGGATACTCGTTATAGCCGGTACAAAGAAAACGAACGTAGAATTTGGACTAAAGCGATGGGCATCATTAAAAGCAAGGACGACGATAAAAAGGAGGCTAATTTAAACGAATTGGAAGAAGAAATGTTGAAACTTCTGCAGAATTTTAAAGACGACGAAGCCCAAAAGAAATTATGTATTCCAGCCGGTTTTACTACCAAAGAAGTCGATATCATTGACAATCTGGCTAAACGCTTAGAGTTGAAATTAACTTTAGATCCTTTACACAATGGTAGATATTCCGTCAACAAAAAGAAGCTGTAATTTCTGTTTTATTTCCATAATTTCATGTATTGCTTATCCTTTAGCTTTATTTAGGGAATAAATTCTATTGTGTACATTTCACGCAGGGACTATGGGAAGGTTAACTGGAGCACTAGTTGGGCTACGAAAAGCGATAATTGAAATATTTTTTTTTAATAGAGATTTTTTAAAAATTAACTCATCCGAAATGTGAAGATATCTAAGCAGGGCGCCATATATTTTTGTTTTGGAATCGAAATGAAGAAGAATGAAATGGTTCTTTAAACAATTTTTTTCTTTCCAAGAAAAGTGTCAGAGCCAAAGTTGATCAGCCAGGTGAAAAGGCAACGAAAGTTAATTCATGAATTGCAAAATTTGTTTTAATCATTTAAAACATTCAAATATGCGAATTACGTGATAATAACAGAAAAATTTCACTCCTTGCTCGCGTATTATATTATTTCGATTATTAGATCATTTTCCATTTAACATTTCTGCGGAAAAAGGCAGCCAACATGGGCCGATAAGGTTTTTATTTGGAAAGAGGGGGGAGATGTTGTATGTAGTGCATTGTGGTCGCCATCGGATGAGGTCTATATGTGTCGGTAGCTCGTTTGGAGAATAGGAAAATTATGTTCGCTTGTAATCGAAGTTTTACGCCTGCTTTATCTTAAACAAAATTCGAAAGTGTCAATATTTCGCTGGCGTGGACGATTTGCCAGAAAGTATTCTAATTTATACTAGGCGTGTCCTTGAACTGAATTAAGTCATTTTAAACACTAACGTTACTGCCAAGAATTTACAATTTTTTTGTCAAATTTGGATCCGATGTCGCCATTTTTGAGACCGGGAGAAAGGTTGCCAAGCTTATTTATTTATTTACTTAGAGATGAAACTCAGCTTAAATAAATTAACAGCGGAATTCAATTGGCGGTTAGAAGTAAATCTTATATTAATGATTATTAAAAACTAAAAAACTATATAAGAAGAAAAAATTAATAATAATGATTTATGTAAAATAAATAAGGAAAAAAAAAAGAAAAAAAGGCATCTACACAACTGTCGCAAAGGGACACCCACAATAGTAATAGTTTAATAACCAATAACAGAAAACAACACTAGTTAATTTTTGAATCATGATCAGATTTTAAGATTGCAAGTTAGTTTAAATGCGACGTACGGCAATCGTGCGTATTACGCATAGTTCTTTTGATGGACTTTAAAGAGTCCGACATTGAGATTAAATGATAGACATTATTTAGGTTTTTGCAAACAACTCTAAACAGATTGAACAGCTCATGATTATGTTTAAATTGACAAGCATAACGAAGTTAAAGTGTTTAGAGAAGCGATTATGGAGATTAAAGTTTATGCCACCAAGTAATGAGGACGAAACGATAGCACCGTTATGAGAGAGAAACTACAAGAATAACCCTACGTTTCTCAAGTGATGGTAACGATAACTTTACCATCTTCATGAGGCAGAGAGATGAGAAGCTCCCAAACCGAATTCCTCAGGGCAAATAGCTCTATAGGAAGGAGATAACATAATAGGGGCATACTCAAGTATTTTGATGTCGACCACGAGTATACATAGTTCATGGAATATCCTGAAGCTATCTTCTTTTGCACACATATTGAGAAAATGAATATATTCCAACTTCTTAGTAGTAAATATAAAAAGATAATTTAATATTTATCGTATATCGTAAGAGCAAAAGACCAAGTGAAAACATTAAAATTGGGCAAGACGGACGTTGTACAATTCCTCCCTTACGCCCTTGTATATACAGTGGCTGAGTGGATTGCATCGTCATTATCCTTACAAGCGGTGATATTCTGAAAATACATTTACGAAACACGTTCTTGTTTCATCGAAATATTTGACTAGTTTTTTATGAAAATCGACTGTTTTTACCATACGCCTAACTTGGTCGTCTTTTTGATTATTTCATTAAATTTATCTTTTGACATTACACTAGCAATGCTATTGATCATTGCATTCATGGCTACTATTACTGGGATGATAGATACAAGATATTCAAACTTGAATTCAATTTAAAAATAACTCTATGCCAGTGTTTTTAAAAACGCGCCGAATACAATTTACGCTCAAATCAGCTGTTGAAAGTGAAATAAACAAATTGGTTAAAGAAGGCGTTTTCCAATAAGTTGATTTAAGTGATTGGACCGATCGATATTTTCTCGTTTAGTACCTGTTACCAATTAGCGCTGATATACTTGCAAACATGGCTGCTGGTAGTAGAAGGTGTATTAAGTTGGGCTTGACCAAAGCATACTTGTTTGAATACTAAACACGCCTCTTGGCGTCCAATTAGATGGCAGCGCGGAACTCAAAAATGATTCAACGGCATGACTGCGTTGGCCCTATTCATTGATAGTATCAAACTAACGGCTCCGGATGATACTATGCATTTTAACCCTTTAGAAGAAGTACTAGAACGTTTAGTGGAATCAAAAATGAGAAATAATAAAAAAAAGTGATTTTTTTTTTGTGGGCAAACTAGAATTCTATAGTTACGTAATTGATCAATATGGCATATGTAAAAAGCACCAAGATATTGACTCCATAAAAAACATGTGCAGACGAGATAATAAAGATGGAATTCTTGCAGTAGTTGGCCTGGTGAATTATCACGGCAGATTTTTTCCCAATTTGAGTGCAAAAACGTACCGTTTGAGTGGACAAATGGAGTGAGAAGATATTCAAAAAAGTTAAAAAAACAAATGCAATCAGACGACCACAATCCTAAATTGTTGCTAGCATTAGCAATAGATATTCTACCTCATGGCGTTATAAGTCATCATTTCGCGGACGGAACTGAAAAATTTCGATCAATATGCTCCACAGACATTGTCATCGGACAGCAAACCATTTAGTCTAATATTTTCAACAAAGAAGTCACTATTAACCGTACCTAGATCAAGAATGCAAGACCTACTATGCAGAAAAGCTACCGAAAATACAAGTGTTGATGGTATGTCAAGATTGCCAAGTTCAGATATGTATAGCAATATTGAAGTGGATATAATGCTGGGCACTGTATTACATGATAATGAAGTCGAAATATCCTAATTAATATCTGGTCATTAAGAAGGCAGAAATCCGCCTGAGTAGCCGAATAGGCAACAAGTCTCGACTAGCAACTCAATCGTCGTGGGGTTTAAATCTCAAGTGCGGTAGAGTTGTTAATAAAATGCCGATAGCGTTAGATGTTTAAGACTTTAGTCTTAGAATTTGCTCTCTGGCTAAATTTATAATAATAATAATAATAGGAAGCCAAAATAATGTAACCGCGAGCCGCTTGCCGCCCGATTTAGTTGTTCTTACTTTTTAATATTGGTTGATGTATATATCAAAGTGCCGGAAGTCTTTGTGAAGTCCAACATAATCTCATAAACGACGCTTCAGCGAAAAACATGAGAGCTATGTAAAATAAGAAATGCGCATGCAACGACTAGAAGGTCACCTTGATTGAAAATAGATCGGATGATATCACAAGATAATTTTTCAGAAATAAAGACGAAAACAGAATTGGAACTTGAAAGTGGAAGAGCAGCGTGTTATGGCCAGAAAATATTTCTTAACAAAAAAGTTGTGAGGAAAATGCTAGGAGTAATATATTATTTACATATGGAAATGTTATGTAAATCGACTAACTATTGGATAGAATATCAAAGCAAATGATTTGCTACATCACAAGCAATGAAACGTAGCTCGATCAGAATCGACTGAGGTTTCTGGATCTGCTACACCCGAGTGTGTTCGTTCAATACGTATTCGTAAGCCATCTGAAAGACTTTCTTCTTCTACTTTTAAGTAGATTGTATTTATGTATGTCTCAAAAGTTGTAAAATACACACGGTGAGCTATTATTATTATTATATCAGGCAATGCTTCATAACGAATGAGGTGCTGGCTGTTGTAGTATATTGAAAAATAAGTATTCGTTCACTCATTGTCAGTAAATAGTATTAGTCTAGTTAACTAAACATAAGATATGTATAGATGAATGTCGTGTTAAAAAAGGAATTCGAGACAAATATGAATTTTTAAAACTAAGTTCATTTTTATTTATTTAAAAGAAAACTGAAACGTTTAATTCGAATATATTTTATATATGAAGAGTACAGTTAAGTAATTACAACCAAATAATTTGTTTTTTTTTTTTTTTTTTTATCAATTTCTTAAACACATAGACATTTGTATCAAGAAATCTCCTAGATTGAGATTTATATTTATAGTTTTTGATAAGGTTTTTTTTTTTCTCTTATATAAATATATATAAAATTACTACCATACATAATGGGTGAAAAACAAGCTTTTTATAATTGATTAAGATTTGTATATCCACCGCCAGCAGGAAACTAAGCTAAGGGGTAGTTGATGGGGAAGGAGAGATGGTTAGAGGGAAGGGGCAGAGAGAAAAAAGAAATGCTGCTTAGCCGTTTAGCTCTTTCGTTGTTGGCGGATATTCAATAAATATCGAAAGACGTATATAACTTTCTTAGACTTATAATGGTAGTTGTTATATAACATTCTTTATTCGTAAATTTTGCATAAATCACCTAAAATATTGAAAATATTAGAAAACTACATCATAGCTGTGTATGTATTATACATATATATTTTTATATTCTTTTTTAGGTGAAATCTATTGTTCTTTGAGATTTGCTTAAAGATTTGCTTATATACATTAGAAAATGTTTTGTTTTGGTTCAAATGTTACATAATACGACTCATTAAATAAAAAATATAATACTGACATATATGTATATGATGTTTATGCAGTTTTAGGTACGCGTGTGGTATGCACGATTAACATTACATTTATTTTATTTAGCTTCTTCTTATTATCTTTTTTTTTATACTTTGGAACTTATATATATATATATATATATAAATAACACACTTTTTATAAACTCTATTAACTATAACATATTTTATTACTTTTTATTTTTTCTCTTTTTGTAACAAAAACAACAACAAAAATATCACAATGATTTTTTTTTTTTTCTTTTTCTTTTGTGTTTTATATCAAATATTGTAAGATTTTTTTTATTATTATAAATTTTTTGTTTTAGGGCTTTCTCTGGATCGGTCTGTTCCGTTTGGTATAGTAAATGCATCCTAACTATATTCATCTATAAAACATATATATGTAAACAGTCATATAAAAAAGTTATTACATATGATTATATAAATATACACACAAATATATTTTATATTACTCTACGTTACTATGTATGTATTATGCATTAAGTTTGTAGAGAGAATTGAGAAAATTATATATGTGATGTGCCTTAAAACGGGTCACTGGTTGTTTGGTCAGTGTAAAGGTTAATTACAATGGCTGTAGACTATGCGTTTTTTTTTTTTTTTTTTTTTACTTTTCAGAAATAATAAGCAAAATATCTCGAAAATAATGGTTCAATTCATTCAATTTGACGTAAGCCGTCCATCTCCAAGCATACGAACTCAAGGTTATGCTTGCAATTTATTATAATTTTGTTTATGTAGTGCTTCATTCCCTATTATCTTACTTCATTTCATTTTAATTTTGGGTCACTATGTTGAATGTTGTCTCGTTATGCGAACAATTCGTCGTCTTGTCACAAAAACATATTTTAGGCAATGGTTTGCTATAGAAAATTTCTTGTACTATTCTGATGGCTTGTGGAAGCTACACTTAGGACTTTACGCATCCTTCTGTATTTCATATCATATCATATATCTTTGCCATATATAATATAAATTAAAACAAAAAAAAAAAAAAAAAAATTTATTTTTTGCATTTGAAAACTGATAAGTAAGAAATCTTTGATTCGCAAACTTAAGATATAAGTAATGATTGCAACTAACTGCAATAGTAGCATATATATGAAATATTCCTACTTTTTGATTCATATCATTAGTCAAGATCACGTGTTTTATCTGAACGTGAACAAAAAAACATTTAGATTCTCTTTACCTAAACGAAATCATATATTTTTTATTGCCTATGGATTTGATAAGCGTTTGTACGTCTACTTATGAAGAGGAGTGAGTCTCTTTTCACGGTGGGTCTTCAATAATCAATGGAGAGTTTAAATGCTCTTGTAACTTGTATGCATTGTATGCATCCACCTGATCGTGGTTTTATGTACAGAAACTAAAGCACATACTTACAGCCTACCGTCTAGTTTCGCCCGTTTATTATATATCCAAGGAAATCCAAGTAGTATAAACCTACTGAGCTATTTTAAGAAGTCCATGACAAAATGAGGAGAGCCGAGGCGAATATATCTCTATTTTGAAGACTGCAAAGTATCGGTGCAGTACTGACGAGTAGGCAAAGCAAATACTACAGAACGCTGCCTATTGCATTGTTTAAGAGTAAGAACTTACTATGCCTTGGTATATACTTTTGCTGTTGCAATGAGTTATATGGGGATTTTCTGATCAGTAATTCCCATTAGACACACAGGGTAAAATGTTACAGTGTAACGGGAGAGTACATTTTTCGCCACATTTGTTACATCGTTACATTTGCCTGACTGTACACATAAAAACTTGCGGCGGTTAGCTCAGAATTTGACAATGATCAAGTATAAGTATTAAGTATGGATTCCTACTTTTTGGATTTGCGAACGTTATTGTTGTTGTATAATAAATAGAAATAGAAAACCATTAGCCTTGATCTGGGAAATTAGCTATAAAAGCCACAAGAAAGCCACTCATGAGAATTGTTGGTTTGTCGTGTTTGTACTTTAACTACTTTGAAGAATTTTATAGTGATGTTGTTCCGGATTAGCAAAATTGCTAAAAAAGTCATAAAAATGTTGTGAGAAGATAGCTTCGTTTTCCTTATGACCAATGATTGATTCCATAATTTGGTTAAATAATTGCAATCATTATATAGAATTGGTAATGAGATCATTTCGTCCATACTTTAAAATCATTTCCTTTGCACGCTGATTGAATTCATATTGAAAAATTTCTTATAAGAACATTGGAAAATAGGAACTTGTGCAGTCAAGTGTAATCGCTTTGCAGCAAGCAAATCACGTTACTCTCCAGTATTCTGTGGATGGATAAATACTAGTCTTTGTTCTCAACCAACAACTATCCCAAATTCCATAAAGAATAAATATTCTTGTGTGTCTATGCCGCTCATCTGTCCTTGGATATAAATAGATTTCGAACTGTGATGGTCGGAAAAATAGAGAGAGACAAACATTTGATATATATATATATGTATATAAATTTAGTTTTTTGTCCAAAAGATGAGCATGATCTTCTCGTGGCAATAAAATGCATACAAATAAGAATAAATAATTGATCTAAAATGATGTCTGATGTATGGAAAATGTATTCGTATAAAAGTTCGAATAAACAGAATTAAGTAAAATGTAACAGAGTAAGAAGATTCCGATCACTTAACCATAACACATATTATGACAAAAAGACAATATATTACAATTTCTATATATTGATGTGTTGTGGGTGTGGTGGTGTGTAATAAATGTGATCAGTATTTGCTTTCTCCTTACGATCGTACATCATTGTCATTTTGATTAGTTAGATTTCCGGAAAATGTGTCCCGGAAATACTTTAGGAACTGTTTTCGGTGACAAAGTTTACTAAGTCTCTTAAATGTGCACAAGAGTATACTTTGTTTCAGTTCAAATAAGTCCGCCATCTTAGATATAGATCTGGATTGATTATTTCATTAATTTGGTTTTAATTAAAAACTTTAAATTTGATTTTTTTCATTTAGCTGCGTAGTTTAAGTCTATTTTCGCAATATGGAGCGAAATCAATTAATCAGAATCGTTAACTATACACCGCGTTATATAATATATGTCATTCAAATATTATGGCTGTTAATGCCATTTGCCTGAAATGTTAATTACGCTATATATTTATTCCTTAAATATTAATTTTACTTATTATCCAAAGTGTTTCTTGTTTAGTAACTTTTAGCCTAACATTAACAAGGCGATGGGAAAATTTGAAAGAATTTTTTATAGTAAGTTAAAAACCAGCCGAGCTGCGTAGACTTAAATGGTTCAACATTTTTTTTTTAAATATAATATAGTGGGAAATAAGAAGCTGGGCTTAGGGATTTCCAAAAAACACCTTAATCTTAATATTTCCTTAGGTTTCATAAACTTGTTCTATATTCCATTTGTACTTCCATGTCATAAGCAATGTTAGTATCTAGTAACTTGAAATCTTTCTCATTGTACTCTTCTTCTTCGTATTCGCAAGCGATAGTATGCAAGCATTTTTTTTTTTTTCACAACAAAAGAATTAACAAATTTTCAATAAACATGAAAAAAGTTATTTCCTATGCTTACGTACTTTTCAGGTGGTTCGTTCTAGTGGATGTTGAAGCAATAGTCTTGGACCTTGTCTTGGACAGTAGTCAACAAAGTAATGAGTTCGATAGGTTCTTACTGAAGTTTTGATTAATTTCCCTTACATTACATTTACAGGTGATGAAGTGGCGCCTCTCGATATACTATATACTGTTCCTGATATTAGGTTAGATTTGCTTCCATTGTCCAACTGTAGTGTTACTATTGTCATGGCTGCCAAAACAACTTGGAATTGCTGTTGAAGTGTGAAGTGATTTTTGCTTAACTTAAAGGGCATTCGTTTGTTTAGCGTTTGCTGGGAAAGTTGTTGTTGTTTCTTGTAATAATCGAAGCTTACTTAGACGTAGTAGTAGCGACAGTTGCAGCTATGTTTGTAGTTAAGTTGTTAAGGATATCTGTGCACGTGTCTGGTTGCTTTGCTGCTGTGTTTGTTGTCGCCGTAGTTGAGCCGGTTATTGAGCTCTTTCTGCTCACACTGTTGGGCATTATTGTTTCTGTATCTTTTGCAAAAGTCACTGTACCGGTTGTTGTTACTGTGTTATGTATATTGCTCGTAACTGATGTTACGGTGGTTTTATTGGCCGCAAGCGCAGTAGCGATAGGTTTTGTGGAAATTTCTTTTACGGCAAATGTTGTTTGTGGCTTGCTTGTTGTTGCTGTTGTAAAGGCTGTTGCCGTCGCTTTGCTATTAAAAGCTGAATTTGTAGCCTTTTGTATTTTGAGATTAGTTGGGAGAACTTGTTCTGCTGCCGCCTTTGACTTTGATGAAGGGTAGGTTCTTGAAGTCGAAGACAATAATGACGATGTCATACTTGAAGTGTCTGCCCGCGTAGCTGTTTCGAATAATTGCGAAGTGTCGCTGCAAGTTTTTTCAGTTTTTTGATTTTCATTGCTAGCTCTGCTTGGTTTGATAGTGGATGTTGTAGCTGCACGGGCTGTTGCTGGATTTAAGTTAGCAACGTTTGTAAATAATGCTGGAGTGATAGCTTTTGAGTTTTGCATCAAATTTATATACTTTGAGTTTGTACTTGATGTTGTGATACTTGAAATATATGCGTTAACTGTTGTGGCCGCCTCAACAATTACTTGACTTACTGGAGTATCTTCAATAAGCTTGGCTGCTGCATGTGACAGTTCACTTCTTGCAGGCTTTGTTTTCAACTTAGAATTGTCACCATGCAATAGATTTAAGTTTTTTGTAGTGTGCGTAACGGATTGAGCAGAACTGGCAGCACTTGTTGCTCTGGTTGACCTATTATTAGATAATGTACCTGAATTGCTATCAAGCGTTGCTACTTTAGTAGATGCAATGGGAGATTTAGTTGCTGCGGTTAGTGTATAATTTAAAGTCTCCATCGTAGCGTTATGGCCTTGATTAGCGTAGTTTGCTGGCATTATATTATTAGGCGATATGATTGCAGCATTTGTATTACCGTAAACTGTGCTACTGGTTTTAGTTGTTGTTAATGTGCTAACTAATTTAGTGGGCACAAGAGGTTTAGCAGCCGCCCTAGTATTAATTGGAATCAAGGCAAGCCCGAAGCTTGACGCTACACTTGTACTATTTATTAAGGCCAATGCAACCTCGCTTCCATTCGAAACTATTGTGTTGAAGCAATCACTAGTAGTTACTTGCGTTGTTGTTGTTGCAAAAGTTTTTAAAGTGTTTGCTGCTGTTTTTGTTGTTGGTAATATTATTGTGGCAGTTACTTTAATAATTTTTTCTTCCCCAGTTCCGCTACCATCACGGCAATCTTTTGAAAGCGAATTAATCTTATCGCTCGACGACATAAATGACTGTTTAGTAGATTTTGCTTCACTTGATGATTCACAGCAATTTTTCTTCATTTTTAAAATACCCGGACCCGATCGCTGATCAGCATATTTTTTGCTCACCTGAGGTGGTGTTTCAAAAGCCTGCAAAAAAAAAAAGGATAGAAACTTTTGTAGACTTGAAAATTATTCTCCAACAACAATTTCTACGTACGGCTTCCTTTGCAATCATTGCACCATTAATTATGCTTTCTTCATTCAATCGCTTATCTGCCGAACTGACAATGGTAGATGACAAATTTTTTGGTGGAATGACTGACGTGTTTGGCAAAACTCGCTCTCAGAGTTGCAAAGCTTCGTCTTCCATTTCGTCACTGCCATCATTACCATTGCCATTACGATAAATGACTGTAAGGTTATCTTCGTAAATTGATAAATCGGTAGGTAAGCCTTCCGTTAAGATACTTGTATTGGCTACTGCATCATAGTTTTCACTCTCGTATCGCTCAGCGTGCAAATTAATGCACGGACGTCCTGCGGGACCCCATTCGGCCGTAGGCTTAACCAAGTATTTAATGCGTTCTCTTAGGCCCATTGAATCGGGTGCCTTGCAGATCTGTTGGAAAGCGACTGCAAAGATAACGAAAACCGGCAATAGTCCCACAATCCAGCCGACCGCATCAGCCCACAATGGGTAAACGTAATGACCATATGTGGCTGGTTTGTACTCTACCCAATTAAAAAATAAAATGAACTGGAAAAGAGAAAAAATGTTTCATATAAAATTTCCCATAATTTGATGGTTTTACCAGTAAGGTGGCTGGTGTTATGAAACGCCACATAAGTGACCAAAACGTATTCCAGGATCGTGACCGTTTTCCAATCATGCCCTGAATATCATTAAGAAATCGTTGCGAACCATAAATCCAAGCAATTAATACACACTCCGATATCGCTATTAATAGAACCGACCAATTGGCGGCATACTTATCCATCAGCTGCAGCCAATACATGCCACTCTGTTACGAGACCAGAAACACTGTTCTAAAGCCGTTTTGTTTTTATAATCCATACACGAATTGCACTTACCCTGGTTGTGAAACCAATTCCCCCGATATAGCCAAATACGCCAACAAATAATACAACCCATGTTTTGTATTGTCTTAAATTTGGAAACTTATCCAAAATGGCAGTAGTTACTGTTTCCATCAGAGCAAACTGAAATAATTTGGAATTATTTTTTTCCTTTACAAGAAAAAACTTTTTCTAGCTTTACTGGAGAGGACGGGGGCGGGATTGATTCTAAAGTTCATTTTGGTATGAGAAAATTACTACATTGAGGATATTCAACGAAGTTACTTCTTCTGAATCCAGAAAGTTGAACCGGTACATCGAGATGTATATAAGAGGGTGCCATCGATTGCACAGGCTTAAGTTAAAGTTATGACCACTCTTGCAAAAGACGGTTGCGCGGGAAGCACAATATTATTTTTCATTCTTTGAAGAATTGACTGAAGAACGATTAATAAAAAGTTTTTATCCATTGTCGATTGTACAATGCTTTTAGAGATCTGAACAGATCGGGTTGTGTGTTAAAGTGCGTTTGGAGGATTGCGGTCGCAAGCAACACGCGGCAGTGCTTAAAACAGACACATCGTTTATTATGTCGATCGATTCAAATTATAATTCTGCTGCCGAAGTTTGTCTGTCCATCTGTCCGTCTGAAGTCCGCCCACGTATCCCAATTTTTGAGATATTTTGATGAAATATGGTACAGTGACGTGTTTTGATCCAAGGACGAACACTATTGAAAAGGGTTCGGTTCGGTGCACGTTTTTGGACCACTCTCCATATAACGCCCTATTCCGAAAAGTCGTTATATGGAAAAAGATTCTAATTTTCAAAATGTCTCGGAAAACTTTGGACCGGTTGGAGCAATTTTTGAACTCCATCTCATGTAACGCAAACTGTACTTCAAACGACAGAAAGCTACAATTATCAATGCTTCACGATGAAAATTATATCATAATAGTTATTGAACATAAAAAAATTATTTATACTAAAGGTGGACGACCTCGGCCTATTGTTTTGGATTCCGCCCTCATGAGGATTTTTACGAAAATTGACCCTTTGTAAAACAGAAAAGTCCAAGTATAAATAAGTTGTGATGGAAACTGACCCATAGTATTAGAATAATTTCGTACGAAAATGAATTCTACAAAATTTGTATCATCTACGCCTATTTTTGGAACCTTCCCTATGTAAAGATTAAACTTGTACTACATTAGGTTTAGTTTTGGGCCCGCTTCCCCATAAACACGCACAAAATAGGATTTGTGTCAGACAATGTTAAGGGTCGGCTTTGGCCGATTATAATGTTCTTACTTGTTTCATGTAATTTAAGGAAAAATGCTGTTGAATGGTGAGAGGTGATAGTCAATGGACATGGTTTTAGGCTCCAGATTATCAGAACATTTTTTATTAATATCGCTTGCTAAGTCGAATATATATGAGGCTAAGGTCATGCTCTGTATTTGACGCAATTGGTAGCTTGTATTGTGAATTGTGAAGAGTTTGAATCCAACTCGGTTTTTACCGAGAAGCGCCCCTAACAGCAATTGGTATAATTTTTTAATTTAATTTACAAAAATATATCAGTGATTTAAGAAGCCGGCCATAAAAGAAGGGAAGGATAACATACGCCAAAGGATATAATATAATGCCTTTTTTTATCAAGGCTATAATGGGCTATATATACGTTAAGTAGTTCTCGTCGCGTTCTATATAAAAGATGGTGAAAGAACTCGAAAAAACCCTGCAGGAGTTGTGCTGAACAGGAATTTCCAAATTGGTTTCAATAATATACGGTGTCCTTGATTTGAAAAGTTCTTAAAATACTTTACCTGAGAGTCTAAGCCCAATGTCAATAGCATTACAAAGAATAATACGGCCCATACCGGCGAGATGGGTAAACGTGTCACCACTTCGGGATAAACAATAAAAGCCAATCCAGCCCCTTGATCGACGACTTTTTCCACTTCGACATCCAATTCGTGGGCGAGAAAACCAATTATTGAAAATATAACCAAACCGGCAAAGAAGGAAGTTCCAATATTACAAACAGCAACGATTAGCGAATCTCTGAGAATCGAAGAAAAAATGGGTTAACAAAAATTGATTATACAAATTATTATTATTTTGTTTCTTCTTTTTTTTTTTTTTTTTGTTTACATACTTGTAGCAATTATTTGAGAATTTGTTATAAGACGAGAGTGTTATTAAACCACCCCAGGCGGGACTTAAAGCAAAAAATATTTGTACAGCAGCATCACCCCAAACCTGAAAGGAGACATTTTCACATTTAGTGAAACGATGGAGTTTCCAAGGGGCAAACAGAACAATAAATTATAGTAGAAGTAAAGTAAGCCATGAATTTTGCATGTAACTAACCTGTGCATTGGCCAATTGTTTCCAATCTGGTGTTAGATAGAAGAGTATTCCTGTAGCCGCTCCCGGTAATGTAACGCCTCTAACAAACAATATTACGAGCACTACATACGGGAATAAAGCGGTAAAGTACACAACTTTACCCGATGATTGAACGCCTTTGCATAAGCAGAGGAACACAATAACCCAAGCGCAAAACAAACATATCGCTAAAGAGATTTTAATACCTCCCGTCTCTTCGATACCCGAGGACAGGCCCAAAACGTAATTGCTGCAATAATATATGAATGAAATAATCTCATGTGCCTTCGATTTTGGCTTAACTTACTTAAAATATTCTTCGGCGGGCGGTCGTTTTAAAGCATTTACTGTCATTTCGGTGATATTGTGCTCTTCGGCATATGTGGCATTGTAGCATACCCTTAGATAAAATGTACCATTAAGAGCTTCACACTTGTCAGCTATTTCGTAGGAAAAACAATCTAAGAAAAATTTAAGGAAATTTTTTTTATTATTGTTTTAATTATGAGTTTCGTTGACGAGTAAAATGTATTGCCATTGTATTCCACAGGCTGCCTTTGACCTCGCACAGTTTTCACAGTCCAAGTGATGACAGTATAGCCGGCTAAAGCCGATCATTGTGTATCGTTCACTAAATCGCAACGATTTTTTATGTAATACGCGGATAGTGAACGTGGGAAGTGAACGTAAAGGTGACGTTTCCAATGCAAGCCATTTTTAATATATAACTCGTTCTTAAATCCAAGCAAGCCAGAGCATGGAACTTTATCAAAATATCTCAGACAGACGGAGGAACAGATAGGTCTAACTCAAGGTGCTACATACGTTCGAGCAATTTTATCTATAATCATCTCTTGTTCCACAGGATAAAGCAGGAAAATAAAAATAGGAAAAAAAAAAAGAAGCAAATTCCGACTTTGTTGAAGTCCGGGTCAAGAACAATTAATAACGTATCCAACAATTTTCTACAACATCATCTTGAAGGGGCGAGCAACTAAGATTCGATCAAAAACATATCTGGCTAATGAGTTAAATTAAAGGTTAAATTACGTACATGTGCATTGTCAAATAGCGTTCATGTGTACATTTTGTATTCATAGCGTGATTACAGTTGCTATTGGTATATCAGATGATTAGACCTCTCAATGGCATCTTCATATTATATCCTGCACATGTCAATCATAATCGCATACTCTTGCCGTCTCTTTAGCACTTCGCTTGATTACATTTACGCGACACGTCTAAGTACATGTGCACGCGTATATACACGCACTTATATGCACACGTCTAAGGGTAGACGTATTTGGGTGCGTGTGGCGTGTCTTTTCTTATATATATATATATATATATAGTGCGTTAATATTTTGCCCGCAAATTTTTTTACATAATAAAGTTGTCATCATGAATTCGAAATCCGTAACAAGTTCAACTTTCTTCCAAGTCTGTCTGTCATTTTATATTATTATTAAGTAACGCAGTTATTACTGCTTGTATTACAAAGGATTTGCATAGATTTCTCTTTTAACTATGGTAATTATATTCACTACTATAGAGCATGTTAAGTTTATCATTTCATTTGGTATGTAACGGTCCCAAAAAAAAAAACAAAAAAAAAAAAACAACACTTTTCGGGTATTTGGTAATTGAGTTATTATGTAATTGCTTTTTTTGGGATCAAATCGTTAAAATGATCATTATTTGTGATTGAATTTGTGGCTTGGGGCATAAAATGTTTGATCGAGTCTTTGATTGATAACAGTTTTGATATTCATCATAGGGTCTTAATTAGACATTTCAAGATTACAGATTTATTTATTCATTTATTTATTTCAAAAAGATTGAACAACAATTTCTTTTAGCTGAGCGTAAACTAAATGACGCTTTTAATAATAAAATTTATGCTGCAAGTATTTTAAACTAAATTAAAATTAAAGAAAAAGAGAAAAAATATCTTGTACGCGGCAAAATAGGTGCCCACTTATAGCACATATGTGTGGGAAAGAAGCACAAACCAGCAAAGGATAGAAAATCTATTAATTCGGTTGAATGACAAACGCAAGTGCTAGGGTTAGATAATTTTATTTTTTTCAACTTTCGTTGATGCGAAAGTTCATAAGAATTTCTTTCCAAAACAGTTTTATTGATCGAATGTGTTCGATAGGCGCAACTCCTTTACGACTGAGCTCTCCAATGCAAAATGGGCACGAATTTGCATTTTTATGACCTCCCACCGCTAAGCTCGTAGTAAACTCAACTCTCAACGGGAGTTAGCAGATTGTCCAATAAGTCGTCTCAATCGCTGCCATATTCGTCTAAAGTCTATTGAAGCATGACTTAACATACTACGACAAGGCTATCTCAAGTGGCCTTGAAATTCTTCAGAATTATCTTCTCTCGGTTTTTACGGATGTTTAGGGGAAGCCGTCGTTCTTCCTCCTTAAACATTTTTTTATTTCGATATAGGAAGAAGTAACCAGATGATGAGTGCGAAAACTCTTTATCTTTTATAAAAATATGTTTTTGCTTCTTTTTAATCAGTCTCTCCTTCACCCTCACTATTTTAAATTTTTTTTGTCTAAAGAATTTTAATATCATTTTATACTCATCACCAACACATTGCGATATATTCATTTTGTCAAAACGTTCGCAGTGTCCAGTAGACAGGTTTAGAAAAACCCCATTATGTAGTTATATTCAAAGCCCAAATGGATGCGGGCATGTCTGTCCGTGCGTCCGTATTTCTGGCAAACTTTCATTCGACTTGAAATTTCCAAAAAAGGAAATCTTTTTGCGCAGAGTGGTACTGACAATGAGTCAAAAAATATCCTTACAGTACGATGCGTTACGTACTGAGTACATCTGTGCTTTTGGTTTTTTTGCTCACTACCCGGAAACCGTATTAGATAAAACGTTTAAATGCTTCCCTCATATTCTGTGGGTGATCCTACATTAGCTTTACAAAAACAAGTGAGAACCTTATAGTCGAGTAAAGGCCGATCATTAAATACCTTACACTAATTCGCTCCGTTTCGTAATAATGCATCAAGTTAATTGCTTCTTCTCATGAATGTTCGCATATTGAATAATGCTCAAAACATTATAAGACGTTATTCAAATATACCAAAATTAATTTTTGACCCAAAGTTTTTACTCTTTTTCCAGTTTCCGTCATGAATAACTAGAAATTATAATTTCTCTCGTTTTTCATAATAACGCTCGCATATGATGGGGTTGAAAAAATAGTTCTAACTAATCCAAATTATTTCTGTGAATTTTTATGCTTACTTTACTTTTGCTTACTTTGCTACTATGGGCCAATTTTTCATCATAAAATTAAATTTTTTTTTTTTGAATGGCTTACTACTTATCAGAAAAATCGTCCTCGCCTACCTAACATATTAAAATACCAAAATTTCATTTTTGTTGTTTTTTTAACCTTTTTTGTTCTTAAGTAGATGATATAAAATACAGCTGACTGTGATTTTCTTACTTCTTTTCCTTTCGGCGTTGCATTTAAAGAGTTCTCTTCTCAAATATTCCACTTTTTTGATGTCAACTTTTTGTACGGTTTCGAAATTAAATAACAACAGATTGACCACCACTTTGACGTCGCTTCCTATTTTAATTTTTTCTCCTTTTGTTCATTATTTCTATTGTCAGTTGTTAACGATTCCGTTCTTTTCTCATATCCTGTTACGGTTTTCGTGGTTTACGAGAAATTAATATAAATTTATTGTACTATTATATAGACGACTTAGCCACGATTTTAGTTGGCAATGTGAAGGGAAGTCTTTACTTACGTAAACTGTTTTGGTGGCTGTAATATGTAATGCCCTCACTGGAAGACAGTTTACGAGTAAATGCAGTTAAGCAGATGTAAAAATATAGGTCGTAGGCAAGGGAAGTATAGGTAAAAAAAAAAAAAAAAAAAAAAATATGGATACGACAGACTAAATGCGAGAAAATCGGAAAGGTGTGATATAATCCTTTGTCAGTAATTCCTCGGACTAAGGAAACAAAAACAATCAAAATAGGCTGCCATTTTCCCCATTACCTCATCGCTCGATTCAAATCTTGTTTACTTTTGAGATATGTACAGAGTGGATAGCAATATGACTTACAATTGATTAAATTGGGCCGTTGTGAACGCAAAGTGTGGCACTATGGGTGAACGCGACGCTCATTTAAAGTGGGTGTCTTAAAGCACATAAATTTTCGTTCTCATATATTTTATATATATATATATATATATGTATATATACACCCAGAACACCCAGAAGTGCTTGAAACAGATCCACCTTTGATTATATCGAAGCTTGTCTACCCGCTTGTCCGTATGTCCGGTGGTCCATCTGATCTATGTCCATGTATATTTTTTTGTGAAACTTGTAACGCTGAAGGATTTTGGCGCTAGGATGAACGCTACAGAAAATGGTTTGGATTGGGCCACTTATTCGATCACTTGGTTTTATTTTGATAAGTTATTATATCGAAAAATAGCGTAAGTGATAAAAATTGCTTAATAATAGCATTTCGGCGTTCTAAATTGGTATCAAAAATTTGGTTCGGCTGTTATAATTTGTAAAACCCCTTCCCATATGACCGTTCCTAGGAAAGCTGAATCTTTATACGCCAAGAATAATATTCAATATACATTCAATATATAATTTTCAATAAATTTCAATGACAATTCGTTCAGAACAATAAACTGATAAAGAAACCACGCTTACTGAACTGCAGCCACGTAGGTCTATTTTTTGAATAGCACAATATATAAGGATTCTCAAGAAATGTAAACCCTTAAATACCGGAAAACTCTAATTGTTATATTTAGACTTAAAAATTAAGTGAACCGGATATGAATCGCATTGTACCGTTTCTTGGATCCAACTCTATAGAAGATTTCTCATGAATAGTAAGCCCTCTAGAAAAAGGTTCAACTTTTAACATTTTATGATGACAATTGGTTCATGGCCTTTTCATGTAAATAATGTACAAAACTACACTAGCCAAAGTGGTGTAAGATGTCTAGTTGCTGGCCTCGCCCGACTATAACGTTCTTACTTGTTCATGGTGAAAATTGTTCCCTATTAAACTAACCAAAAAGGAATTTGGATTACGTCGCTCTATTTTTCAGACCGCAGAGCGTCTAGCGAAAGCAAGCTTATCTATGCCAAGAAAGTCTAATTAGCGACAAAAGCAACCGAAAGATAATAAAATCTTTGACAAGTAAATAAATAAAGCTTGCTGAATTTGGAACACGTTATCCGATGTTTAGAATACCCTCCAATAATTGGATTTTCATGACAATTATATAAAAATGATTTATAATTTTTCTTGTATTATTAAGAAAATGAGTGAGTGACTGATTGACTGTATTAGGTGAAGTGGTGTAAGCTAAGTAATGATGCGACTTGCCTGACTACAGCATTCTTCCTTGCTTAAAGATGAAAAAGATTGAAAACGCAAGGTTTAGATGATACGTTTGTTACATTATCTAAAATTAGACATTTTTACGACATCCTGAAGTTATTGCAGCAAGCAATTCTTAAGAGCGGCTTGGGAAACTCGTTTAATTCAATTTTTGATTGCATGTAGAAAAGAAATTTTTCATTTTTCACTAAAGACCTTTAACGTGCGCGGTCTGTGCAAACAGTTTTATGCTTTAAAAAAATATTATATATGTTGTCAAAAAAGTAACAGGAACTTTATAAAATTTAATAGATTTTCTAACAACGCTCGGATTAAGCTCTATTGAGCCTACAAGCAGTAAATTACTTCTTTGAACTTTGTTTTGTGATATCAAACGATTCAAATTATTCTTTACAAAGTTGTAAGTAAAGGATAACCTCAAATTTAGCCGAGGTTTAGGTAAAGGATAACTTCAAATTTAGGCTAGTGAGTACGCACTTTTTCTTCTTCTTTAATATAAGACGAAAGTAATGATCTCTATTCGTAAGATATAGAACAAAATATTGCGGAATCCTTGAGTTAGTAGATCTTTCCTCCAGTGGATGAAACGCTAGTTGCCAACACTTTTAACTTTTTCTTGTTTGGGTTTCCTGATAGGAAATAATTAGTTCATTCAGTTCTATGCCAACATGTTGAGCACATTCGCATAGGAAATTGTTTCGAAAATCCTAAATTTGAGGTAAATTTTTTGATATTTTTGCTGACATAAGAGAATCGTGCAACAAATTCACGCACAATAGTTGCGGCAAGTAAACTAAAGTTTGCTTGGGCCTAGAAATCGTCGTCGCAGTAACTTGGATCTATCTATCTATCGTCTCAAAAATTAAATCCTTTTTTAACTTTTTGTCACCGGAATAGGGGTTTCGAACAAATCGATTCCCGTTAGTTTTTTGCAAATTCTTTCTTTTGACATTGACCTTAATTTGTCGATCCATTTATCATCATATCTAACATAAATATATATGTAAATGTTAGATTTTAATGACAAAAGCAAAGCAAAGTCCAAAAAATAATTTGGAATAATTTAATTTTATTTATGATATCCTGTTACGAGTAGACTCTTCTCCCATTTAAAAGATTTACACTTACATACAAACGAACAGTTTTGTGTTTTCTTTTTACGTCTACCAGTACAACGTACATAAAAGTAAATTTCTCGTTTCTGTACTTATGCCGAGTTATACCATCGGATATTAAACTCTATCCGACTAACACCACCTCAACATTACGATCCAAACACAAATTAATTTTTCTTTCGATTTTGTACACACTTATGAGCCTGTGTATGGTAAGTCTAAACCCAAATGCGTCTGTATACGCAATCTCGAACATTGAGCGGCATATTCACTGCGTTGAAACGTTTGCAACATGTATATATGTATTCTTGATCAGCATAAAATTCTAAAGCGATCTGGGTAAGTTTATCTACCCATCTAATCACACTCTTATAATATTGACTGCAAATTTTGCGCAGGCATTGGAAGTTTTTACAAGCCCTTTGCTAATTTCATTTGTTTTGATTTTTTTTTGTTTTTTTTACGTAAGAATGGTTATATGAAGAAGATTCGATCACAGCCAGTATATAATATTATTAATTATTTTTATTATTTTTTTTTTTCTAACGATCCATTTTTTTTTTTTTTTTTCATTCTATGATAGTGTTTTGGAATTCTTTTACTCTCTCAATTTTTTAAACAACACACATATATTGGTTCAAAATAAATACAATTATTAAAGATGGCCAGGGCAAGGTCAACTGTTATATGGAAACGTGTGAATTTATTGTTAATTATGTACTTGCTCTCGTCATGAAATACTGAAACTAATCCTTCCTATCAGGTAAAGGCTTATGTTTAGCGAGAGCCTTTATATGCAAAGGGTTTCAAAAGTAGACTTAGAAGGCTGCAAACTTGCAGCAGATGCAGTCAGTTGTTTTGGATTAACTTTCATCATAAAATATTAAACATTAGATCCTATTTCCTTTAGAAAACAGTCCCATCCTATCCAAATATTTCATATATGTTAAGTATGCGAGAATAATAAAGATTTTTACTGAAATCGGAGGAGGGAAGCAATGGTCACAAAAATGCTCCGTGAGTGTATCAAGTTTCTTCAAAATGTCACGAAAATTTTGCGACTTGCAGGCGCTGAACACAAATATGTATGACAACAAGATATCAGACAGACAAACGGACAGACCTGCTTAATCTCGTCTTAGAATTTAAGCATAGGATAGATTTAATTGCCGACTGTACAGTTTTGCTATTAGAGAAATAAGACGAGATCAATACTTTACCGTTAGACGAATCAAACGAAATTGTTTTGTGCGTAACAATGTAGGAGAAGGGTATCAACAGTGTCGCTTAAACTTGTTTAGATCTTCTCTCTGCTCTTATATCTTCAATTTGTTTGTTGCTTGCTTTTAATTTCCGACCATAGAAAAATGTTTGTTTCGAGTTTTCAATTTTCTGTGCAATTTTTATGAAAGAATCCTTAATTTTTATGGTTGTTGAATACGATGCGAAGCTAGTTAATGGTTTGCTTTGTTAAACTTTTGCATTTGCACAAAACATTGTTGGTAGTTGTGTATAGCATTTATGTACGGACTAACATAATTACTTACTTTCTGTACTCCATTCTGGTTCACAATTCTGCCAGGGCAGCTCAGTACGAAATGAAGCAAACATATAGAAAATTGTCCAGGCAATAATTAAATTATAATAAAGCATAACGATGGCGGAGACGATAACCATGCCCGTGCCTAAGCCTCGAAATAAAGGGCAAAAGCGGCGATAAATTGCTACCGGTCCCAAGGCAGCGTATTGTCCAAACGATAATTCCATAAACATGAGAGGAAGTCCAGCAATTATTAGCATTATGGTGAACGGTATTAGGAATGCACCTGAAAAGTTCACGACGAACGGAAATTGGCTTTAAGTGAAATTATGCAAAAAAGTGAATTTGATGAATTGAAAAAGTCTTTTAAATGCCACAGGTAATTTACAGCGTCTTATTTACTTAATAAATTCATAAAATGTCGAGTATGCAACTCACCGCCTCCATTATTGTAGCATAAATAGGGAAAACGCCACACATTACCCAAACCCACCGAATAACCCAGCAGTGATAGTAAGAAATCGAAACGTCCCGTCCAGTTGCCACGTTCTGGTTCAATTGCATCGCTTTGAGCATTGGTATCCAAAGCTATGAGAGCCGCATGTGAATCAACGCCGCCTAGCGTTGTAACTGGCTGTACGGGTGACGCTGTTGAAGAGATTGTTTCCTTAGTAGCGCAACTCTTATTCACTTTAGTCGGCCTTAGTGCAGGCGTTAAAGAACTGTTGAACGGCTTTTTCTGTTGATCTGATGGCAAAGTAATGCTTGTGAAACGATCTTCATTTTGCTAGAAAAACAATATTTTTTATCAAACGTAAGCGCCTCGGATTACGAATAATTGAAAATAAAAAAACGTGTAATAAACTAATCACTAAAAATTATTAAACTACCCAGTAAAAGTATAATTGGGCTGGAACCGAATTTTTTATACTCATCACTAATAAAAACATTATGGTCGGACAAGGCCCTCCAATAGCCGTTCATTCATTCATTTTCGTAGTAATAAATCAAACATTTGACATTACTTTCATGCAAAGGCACACTTTTCATGAATGCTTTCATATTGGAGATTGATTCAAACGTCAACTGACGCGATCCAGATTTAGTAAACTTAACTTCCTAGAATTAATTTGACGCATTGCTACAACAAAAATTAAACCTTTTTGCTTAAAGAGTTTTTCATTCATTAGAATCCTTATAGGGAATGGTGTCCGGGAAATAGATCAATATGGTTCAAATTTGACCTAGGCAATTTTCATGTCATATTGTACTATTATGGATGAATTGTCATCACAAATATCGAAAAAATAGACCTGCTTGATCCAAATTTGATACATTCAAGCTGTACATCAAATTACTCTTGCGAATCAATTTTCATTATGAAATATCAAAACCTGGACGTACTTGCCTTATAAAGTCTGATTTATCGTTAGAATCCTTATGCTGGGAGGGATCCAAGCGTATCATAGTACCAAGTTTCATCAAAATACATCAAAAATTGTGACCTGCACATGGACATGAGATGGACAGACAAGCTTAGATTGATTCAGAAAATGATTTTGAATCGATCGGTATAAAAAAAGGGCGGGTCTCTGTCAAGTCGCTGTGAGTGTTGATACGCCCTGTACCATAAGTGATATGGGGAATAATAAAGTGCGCTAAATTTGGTGCACATAAGGATTTTTTTTTCAACATCACCTCTTATAAAGGTCCCTACGACGAGTAAGCTTTGGGGTGGCAACAAAGCCCAAGTTTTATTACTTTAAGAGGAGTACGTATGCACAATGTTAAAATCGTTGAGAAGGAAAACTATTTGTTAAATTCGAGCCATGTCAGTTCAAATATTGGATTCCCTCCTATATAAGGGACGTCGTGACTAGTACGAATTCGCATGAAAACAAGGTACAAAATTGTTGGTACTTTCTCACACAAATAAATGAAGATAGGTAGAAAAAGAAGATGGGTAGAAGTAGGGCATCTAATAATCGACTTAATATGCTAACAATTTCAATAAACTTTCGCAAAATTGAGAGACACCGGCGTGACTCTACCCATCATTAAAAGAGGCGGATAGACTCTTTAGAGCACGGGAAAAAATTCCCTTTACAGTCATAGGAGATATACACGTACATTAACAAAATTAAAATTCTATATCTGTTCGGTCATGTCCATCCATCCGTTCATTAGCGTAATTCAGTAGAAATATTTTTCATGATTGTCTAATAATTTGAAACGTTCTAGGATTGGCCGTTTGGTAGGCCCATCAAACAATCGCTTTAGTTGGCAGCTATAAGCTCCATCAGTAGGCAACAGCTTTGAAAGTGTTCATTCACTTACCTCCCATAAATCAACGTCCAAGCATATCGATGATTCTTTATTGGATTTTAATTTTTTGCTTTTAGCTTTTGTTTTAGATTTTATTGAGGCCGATGATGATAATTTTCCATCCATTTTCCTATTTTTATTCGTTTATGTAATCAATGAGTAGTGTTGTGTTCAAGCTTTCGCAGACTTGTACTCGAGTAACAATAAAACGAGAAAATAAACAGCCGCTCGTCAATTAATTAATGATCTAAATATATGCAGAATTTTTACATAAATTTCAGTTTTTTTTTACGCCTTCCTATTAACAGTTAAAATCATTGTAACTTGTAGTAGTAGTAGTAGTAGTACTAGTAGAAGAGTTACAGCTTACTTCACGGCAAGTGAAGAATGATGAAAGGCGAGATGATTTTTTTAATCATCTGCTGCAGCTGCAATAAAATGAAAATTCGCATTAAAAAAATTGATTCAAATTAATTGCTTTACTATGGATTATGGAATTCATTTATGAATGAATTCTTTGTTTTTTTTTTTTTGTTTTTTATTGTTAAAGTGTTTCATAATTTGTCAACAACAACTCAATCATATTTTATGTAAATTTTTATACATTTTGTTGAACGTGTTTTTCTAAAGCGTTTTTATAAGATACGCTCTTTTTTTTTTCCTTTTTTTTTTTTTTTTTTTTGCGTTCCGTTGTTTATATATTCTTCATAAATGTAATAAATGTAATAAAAACAAACTAACAACATCAACGCGCAATAAAAAGTGCATATTAAAAAATTAACTTTAAAAAGGGGGAGAATGGAAAAATGTCGAGCGAAATGCATTGAAAAAATTGCAAAACATCAAGTCGAAAAAGTACCGAGCCTTAGACTCATAAGATGGCATCAGTGTTTTTTCCATCCATCTGTCATATACTATAGATAGATCCTAGTAGATAAGATCTGTCGTCATTGCTTATCATCCCGAGTCGATTTTCATCGTTCGGTGTACTCTGAGTGCATTTAAAGATTCAAAGCAAACTGTTCTTAACTTTGTATATATAATTATATTTATATTGACAATTTGGGAAAGGCTTTTAACATTGTCAGACTCTTATCCTAGAGAGCACTTTAGACTAATTTGGAAAGAAACAGATGACGAGAGAGAGAGAGAGAGAGAGAGAGTTTTTGATCAGAGAGCAACCAATATTGACAGTCGAAAAGGTCATCGTGGGCTGTGCCGGAAAAATCTCTGAAGGTGAACAAATCGAATGACGCCCTGTATTCGGATTTCATCAAGCGCTTTAGGAGATTCAAGGCAATAATTGGTGATTGGGACATTTTCAGGCTCAATACTTATGCACAAGGTTTTCATGATATAGTTCGCTGCCCGTGCATTCTTCCATTGAATCCACCTGTGCGCGTGTGTGCGTGTATGAATTGTGAAAATGGTATGCATTACTTGTCCTGTTTCTGTTTATCATTTCGCCTTTTTTTCTGTGCGCATTTATATATTTTTACATTTGTAATCAATTCTATTTTCCGAAATATATTTTTACACTCACCTTTCAAGGAAACGGATGTGTTAGTTTTGGCGAGAAACTTGCAATACCTACAAATATGCATCAAAGTGCTTTAAGAACTATTATGCATTTCCGAACAATGTGAAATTCTGCACTCGTTCCTTTTTCCGTTCATTCCGCTCGTCCGTCTGTCCATCTGCTTGTGGGAATTCCCCAAGTGAAAGTAGAACACTAGCTAACCCTATCTTTTATATAAATTCATTTGATTTTTTTAATCAAGTTTCGAAACCGATTGATCAGAGAACATTCACAGTAAGTGTAAGCTTTACGATTGTCCTACATTCTTAACAATGGCCTATCACTTGCAGCAAGTAACGCTTTAAAGTTGTTTACATATATTTGCGATGTTCAGCCTCCGTCCATTTCAAATCTTTGCAAATAAGAAATATAGCGATCTAGAGATTTTCCCTAAACGTACCTGTTACTCGCTTACTTATTTGCATTTTTCCGCAGAACTGCTACCACATATATACACGGTTGCATTCATATGAAAATGATATGCAATTTTTTCCTTTACGCCATACATTTTGTCTTTTTAACATTTATTTATGAAATTTTAATGTAATAACTTTTCGATTGCTTTGCAAATTTCATGCAGATAAATATGGATGTAAGAAGGTTGTTGGCTGATTTTGTACCCTACTCCGATGGGCGTACGGAGCATATGTAATACCCAGCAGGACTTAAGGTAGACCGACCTTTTATTATACCGATCGAATCAGAATCGTTTTCATTCATTCAGCTTTTTTTCATCGATTTAAAATTGTCTGTCCGTCCGTATTCTATCCATGCAATTTTGATGATATTTCGATGAAATTTGGTAGACTGACGTGTTTTGATCCAGAGACGAACACTAGTGAAAATGGTTACGATCCTTATTGTAATTTTTAAAATTTCGCGATTAAAGTCGCTGAGTAACAGTATTTCGGCATTCGAAAATGGTATAAAAAATTTGGCTCAGCTTGGGCTATTTCTTGAACCCACTCTTATATAACCCTTCCTACGAAAACTGCAAGTTTAAAGATGTACCGCTTTTATAACCCTCTACTGAAAAAAGGGGGCGAACTCGTTTTGTTTTTTTTCCCAACGGGGAGCCTCAGAGACCCTGTAAAGTATGCATATTCTTGATTAGCGTGAAAGTCTGAGTTGATTTAGCCATGTCTGTCCTTCTGTCCGTTTGTGTGTCTGCGTGGCGTTTGTTATTGGCACTCTCTTGGTCGCAGAAATGAAGATATCACTATCAAATTTGGTAGAAACATTGGAATTTTTTTGCACGCAAGTTGCTAATGAAAATGGATCAAAAAGGTCAGAGCAGAAGCCTACAATGGAACACAAACTGAATGCAAAGTCGTTTTTTTTTTTGGTTTTTTGCTCGTTACTTACTAATTGCAAAACTTAGGGGGTGGAAAATGTCCACATTTACTACGCGAAACAATCTGCCACTTTTTATGTGCGGAAATGAAAAAACTCTGCCATGTCCACGCAAGCCTCCATTAAAATTGATTTGATTTCTTTAAATTTGATTATTTGCATTTTTTTGAGGTTTTATGTTTGTTTGACATAACGCAAACAACAGGCGGACCGCTTGTTCACTCATCAAATAAAGATATATTATCGGCCTAAAAATGGGTTAATTCTAAAATGAATATCGTAAATACTGTGATCTGGTGGTTTAATTTTTTCTTAATAATATCGATAGCGATATGGGCATCAAATAAAAGAACTTGGAGAGTAGCACGCAAAAAGGGTAGTGGTGTGTATGCCAGATTCTGCCCCCACTGAATATAACTTTCTTACTTGTTATAATCTTACTACATATGAAATACATAGTCAAAATTAGTTTGTAATAGTAAATTGAAATAGAAACCAACCTGGCCGAATTTGGATCTCATAGGTCTATTGGCAAGCTGGTGGTTAAATATCCTCCACATCAGTCCACTTAACACACTTCTTCATTTATTTGCGTCTAGTACTACAAGTACTACAAGTTACATTTTATTTTTATACAAAGGCATACTTATCATGGAAGCTATTTGCTGGGTGGGGTCAGACATAGAGGATCCAAATTTGCTACATTCAATAAGGACCAATTTTCATCATTAAATTTTAAAAATTAGAATATTTTGCATAAAAAGGCTTACTTCTGGTAGGAGCGATTGTACAAAAAGTAATGGTCCCTTCCGATTATTACTTTTTTTAATGGTCCCTTCCGATCGTTACTTGTTTCGCATCAATTTAGTGCGCCCATATATTATTACTCAGCGATTTTTGTTGAGAAATTTTGAGTTTAGCAAAATAAGGCGCTTTGTGAGAACTGTTCGCCAAAGTGCTCCTATTTCGTCCATTTTCAATGACTATTCCGTTTAAGCTAAAACATTTTGGTCTATCGAATTTCGTCAAAATGTCAAAAAAATTTGCAAGCCATAGATTGAAGGCAAATCTCATAGACAGATATCAGACAGACTGGCACACAAACGGAGGGAGCGATGGACATGGATGCTTAAATCTTTTCAGGTGTTAATTACGGTTCGATCGGTATAATCAAAAAATTGCTCTATCATAGACTCTTACGGATACCCACACAAACGTGATATGCCAGAGTGTAAGCACTCTAAAGGAAATAGAATGAAATTGAAGAGAGTAAATGAAGGAAATGAATGAAATATAGAGAAAAATTTAAATACATAGATAAACATGAACAAACACAAGTAAGGACCACAGAGAAGCTGAATTAAATTGAATATATTATATAAGAATATGTTGGTATTGGTTTTCATTGGTTCTCCAATCGCAGTAGGACAAGCTTTCTTTTCTGCAAAGTATTAGGATGGGTCTGATCGTAAATCAAAATTGTCTCCCGCCTTTAGAGAGGAAGTGCTGTTTTTTTTTTTGAACTAAATTTAAAATTTGCCGATTTCTCATTAAATAATACCCGTTCATAACGTATTACACTTTTTTATATCCTACTTGTGGTAAGAAAATATTAAGTTGTGCGTGATTGCGTATGCAAAACCCAGAAGGATTTAAGATAGAGGCAAACTTTACCATACCAATCGAATCAAGAACACTGTTTGAATCGATATAAGCAAGTGTGCGTCGATTCATGCATTTTCGTGTTCAAGCCGCTGGTCCTAAACTTTAAATTATTTTGATTAAATTTGGCAAACTGACATGTTATCTTCCAAGGACGAACGCTATGGAAAACCGCTTCGACCATTTTTATTACCTTTCCTTCTTTTTTTTACACAGTAGTTGCGAGCCTTAGAAATCCATACAAAAAAAAAAATCTATAAAAATATATATGTGATATGTTCCACAACTACAAAAGAATGGTTTAGCGCGAAAAAACTATATATTTTTTGCAAAAGACCTATCACCTACATATCCTTGTTTCGCCTTTCTGTGCGCCGCGCCCTGACAATTTCGCACCCAAGAATAACGCTCTCGTGATTTATGTCAATACAACAGACCACGAAACTAGCGCAAAGATCCTTCCTGCTGGGTCAAGCCGCAATTGGCAATTGGAACGAAGTAGACACTTCCACTAAGCGATCTGCTTAGAGCTCTTAGTGTGATTAACTTTTGATTTCTCTTTCAACTTGTTAATGAATCTGGTAAATGTTGCATAAGATCCTTTCTGCTTACACATGTGTGTGTGTGTGAAGATATTTGAATATACAAGCGTTTAGCTCAGCGCTTTACTAACCACTCCATCTATATGCTGTCTATCTGTCATATTTTAATTTCTTAGTGATTTGCTAATAAATTGTAAGACGCCCTGGGTCTATAATAGAGCCTACAACTGCGACCTTTGTAATTGAATCTCGAAACTTTTTTAATGAAATTAAAATTTATAAGACAAAAATT